CAATAATTTATTCCATAATATTGAACACAGAAAGTAAAACCAACAAATTAGTGCAAATTATGAGTGAATTTGGCTCTTGGAGCTAATTTCCGAACTTGGTCGTTGACGCTGCCATTTAGCGAGAAAAAAACGAACAAATCACCCCATACATAAAGTAAAGATCTTTTCAGTCCTAGGTACATAATGGATCACTTCTGCGTCAAGTTGTGATGACAATAGAGTTAAAATTATAGACCGCTAGAAGGTAAATAAATTTGATTAGTAAATAGTCGATACCCATTGGAAAGAGCTTAAAAAGCCATCATCCGTGCACTTCTGTCCAGTGAGATTACCTGTGTATGAGTATCATGCCTGTCCGCTAGAAGCCTACCGTCAACGCCACAAGCAGGTAATATTAAATTGTGATTTCCTTCCTGCTACCTTAAAAGCCCCATCATCGATAGTGTATTGTTGTTGTCGCGTTCCGCGAATTATCTACTGCGCGACAGTGCGGCCAGTGCGCCAATCGCTGATAATAGAGAGTTTTCGTTGTATTGGCAAATTCGAACGGTTAACCATAACGGATACGAAAACAAAGCCGCTATTTAACAGATCGTAAAAATAGTTTTCGTTCAATCCGCTTAACGTTAACGTTAAGTCGAATTCGACAAACATAACCTTTCTTTAATGGTTTGTGTTTATCATTGTGTTAATATACGTTTTGTACTTTGTTTTAATTTCTTAGTACCCAAAATTCATTAATTTTCCCTATAGGCTTTACAAAATTGGCTACTACAAAAGCCTATTTAGATGCATCGTCATATAGGAGGGGTTGTTGGCCAATATTTCTTCTAATGAAATAATAAATGATTAAGAGAAGTTCGTGTCCTATTGGTATCCAATGAAGAGGGGTAATTCGTAGGTTAGGACAAAAAATAGAAGGCCTGTTAAATCTTTACCAAGTTTCGCCCAAAAGTTTAGGGCTTCATCAGGGCTTGTACTTAAAAAATTATGTGGTCAGAATTATAAAAAATAGTGGGAGATTTTCAGGATGGAACACTCGATTGCACATAATATAATAAATAATATTGTCCTCATCCGTGAAACGATTTCTCGATCTTTTGAGGGAATTTAGTATCTATTTCGAAAACCAAAAACATTTAAAAACAAAAACAAACCACAACAAAAACATAGGAAATACGCATGCTTTCCGTTTTCGCTATGGTTTTGTCTTCCGTCCGTAAACTCCCGGCACTTATCGGTAACGATAACGATAAATGCTAGCTCAAATGTCAAATTTGTCAAATAGCGGCTATCGGAATCGCTTTTAAAAGACAACGAAAACTCTCTAATAACAACAATACGCTCGCTTGCCGAATCGGCTAAATTAGTTTTGCTGTAAATATAAGCCTAGCCAGGAGTTAGAAGTAAATTATTGATAAAGGGGAAAAGTTCACTTCCATCGAGTAGGTAATTTTGTTAGTAAATAAAATAATGAACGGTATATTGAATTATTATTAGACGGGCTTGGCTGGACTGTTTCAAGGTGAGTGGATAATTTTGTTTGGTAGGTTAGGTTGTTCACACGGTGTTTATTTTATAGATTGTATTACTAAACCTCCATATAAAATTATGAATGGTTCTAAGGAAGTTAGATAATAAATATCTAACATTTATAGAACTGAAATATCAATAGGTAGGTTCGACATTTTTTTATTTTACCTGAAATCGAGAGATTTTGTTATTAAAAAACGATCAATTAAAATTTGAGCGCAAAATATTAATTATGTAGACGCGTAACGTCAGAAGCCAGAAACGGTATTAAAAATGCCAAACAGAACGTGTTGTTTTAAACGAAAATGTAGAACTACGTCTAGTACAACACCACAAATTTTTTTTGTGAGTATTCCATGAGCTCCTTCACATCGTGAAAAATTCAACGCAGCCCGGCGAGATGTGAAATCAGTATCTTCCGACTTCCACGTCGACCATGTATTACTGCGAAGATCATTTCGACCTGTAAAAAGATATGGAAAACTACCTAGAATACAAGATGAGTACGGTTCGATCCCGGATGAATCCTAATGTTGCACCACATAAATTTGCACGTCAACCGAGAAGACCTTTCTCTACGAGACCGCGAGTGCTCAGCGAGAAAAGAGCAAGGTAGAAAAACATCGAGAAATATTTGCAGTTAGCGGCGGCGGGGCCCTCAATCGTGAAGTCGGAGCCTGAAGTCGTGATGGAAGTAATCGAGGTGGAGCATGAACAGCTGATGCCTAAACCATCATGAGTAGGAATTCAGCCACGGTTATGTGACAAGGCATGCCAAACCCTACGGAATACGGAAGCGCAGAGAGGCCACCTATCCCATTTTTTTTTTCAAATTCTGAATTATAACTCGGAATTTCGACTGAAAACTCTGAATTATTCCGACTTGAAACCCTGAAGTATTCCGACTTGCAACTCGGAATTATTCTGACTTGTAACTCGGAATTCCGACTTATAACTCGGAATTATTCCGACTTGTAACTCGGAATACCGAGTTAAAAGTCGAGATTCCGAGTTACAAGTCAGAACTAAAAAAAAAAAAAAAAACGGGATAGGTGGCCTTCAGGTAGTTGTTCATGCTCCACCTCGATTAGGTACTTCCGCGACTTCAGGCTCCGACTTTTCGACTGAGGTTCCCGCCGCCGCTAACTGCAAATATTTCGCGATGTCATTCAATCAATTCAGTCAAATAGGTATCTTTCCGGTTGACATGCAAATTTATGTGGTGCAATATTAGGATTTCTCCGGGATCGAACGGTTACCCCCCCGACCCATTACTCCCCCGACGCGACGCCCGTGCGTGGAAGAAACTGATTTAACATCTCGTCGAGCTGCGTTGAATTTTTTACGTTGTGTAGGAGGTTATGGAACACTCACAATTTTTTTTTTGTGGTGTTGTACTGGACGTAGTTGTACATTTTGGTACAAAATAACACTTTCTGTTAGGTATTTTTAATAGATACCGGTCTGGCTTCTGACGTCCCGCGGCTTAGTCTCGCCTACAGGTACGTTTACTAGCCTCGCGCTAACCCTTGATGCTTAAAGGCTTACAGCAGACGTACATATTAATATTTTGCGCTAAAATTTTTATTGGTCATTTTTTAATAACAAAATCTCTCGATTTTAGTTAAAATAAAAAAATTTCGAACCTGCCTATTGTCATAACAATAGACCCTTGCGGGAACATCACTTTGATTTTTTATTACAAGTAGGTACTATCACCTCATTCTGGAGACTGTGGGGCTCTGAGCATGATGTTTTCCATATACATATTTATTCTTCAAGAAAAATATTTGTTTAATAAGTAGGCTATGAAATCAAAGGGTATGGATCAACCCAATTGATCCCTATTTGTTCTGTTGCGTGGTTTGTTATTGCTTCTGTAGCCATAATGATAAAACAGAGCCAGTGTCAAAAAGTTGCCCAGATCATTTCTAAAAAATAAGCTTTATGAACATTTCTATACACAAAACATATGAGTATTATATTTTTCTGCGTCAATTGCGGCATTTTTAAATTGAATACTTTCTCGAACCAAAATAAATTTAATTTAAAACAAAAACTCGAATTAAGTTAAACTCTTCGGAAAACTTTTTCACTATAATTGATCGCCTTACTGTCCAATTCACAAAAACCCATCATGACTGATCATGACCCGTTCGCTTCACTACTATCTGTTATCATGTAGCAGACACCTTGATTACAGTTTCGAAACCTTCAACAATTTTCCAGATAATTCCGAATACTAAATTCGAGAACAATCTGTAGCGTGGATTCTGATGTAAGTTGAATCCTCTACACCAAGTCGTCGTACTATTTTTGAGGATCTTGTATGGTCCTTCCAATGGTCTCTGTAACTTCGGGCTAAGTTCCTTCCTTTACTGTGGTTGATACAACCACACGGCGTCGCCTTCATTGGAGGTGCAGTTCAGTGACTGCCGCTTGTCAAGTCCTTTTTTTTTCGGTCACTGTTGAGACGTACCTAGTCTAGTCTTGGCGAAATACTGAACCATCATGTGTCTAACCCGAAGATTAGCCCCATCTACTTCCAGTACAGCTTCGTCTTCATCGGCCGGTGGTCTGCCAAACATAAGATCTACGATAGCTTCTTCTTTCTCTCTCAGTCAGCAGTACTGATGGTGTATAGCCGATAGATGCCTGCTGAAAACCTCTATATGCCGAAAGTGAAACAGCCACCAGTCTATCTCAGTCTTGCTGATGTCCACCCACAAACATCGAAAGACATCGATTGATGTCCGAGTTTTCGCCTTGACCATTCCGTAGGACTGTATAGTCCATAGCACGGGAGAAAAATGATTAGAAGAATGCGACCGCCTCGCCTGCGCCCCGCCCTGTACGTGAACAAACACAACTTCTCTGCATTATTTGTTGTCTTTGTGTAGTCAACAGACTATTTACTATTTCTCGATAGTTTTAGTGAGTTTGCTAAGCATTTGTTTCGTCTTCCCCCTCATGCGTCGCGGTAGCCTCATCAGTTGTTTTTATACTTCGGACTCAGAAAATCTCGTGTCTGGCAATTGTATTTTCCAGGGATGCTTCAGTATCTCTAACCACTTCCTGATTGGGGATTGGAAACTTTGAGAAGGATTTCATAGAAACCATAAGGTACTTACTTCCCGAATCTGTTATAGGAAAAAAACTTGTGATTCGTTTCTTCTAGAGATCGCGCCTTGTGTCCATTCGTGGATGCATAAAAGTGGCATCCCTTTTGTTTTGCCTATCTCCAACATCCCCACGAGAGTTGATCCAATTATATCGATCTTTAGCTAAAGTCCTGTGACGACATGCCGAGTGCAGTTAATATTTTTCTTCTACAGTCCACTATGGTTTCTAGAATCTCATTTTTTGGCCAAAATTAAACAAATTAAATTTAAAACAAAAGCATGACTCTAAATGTATGTTTTAAATAAACCATTGAAAAAATAATAAAACTATGCTATTTCTTCTACCTAGGAATCGTCTTCTGCATCTAGTTCCAGAAAGGAAAGTTGATTAAGCATTGGAATATTGCTCTGCAAAAAAAAATCTTCTTTGGAAATATCTTCTTGCTCTTTTTCTCCTTCTTTTTGCTCTTCTTCTTCTCCTTCTTTTTGCTCTTCTTCTTCTCCTTCTTCTTCTTCTCCTTCTTCTTGCTCTCGCTCCTCTTTTTCCTCTTCTTTTTCATTCTCCTCTTCAAATTGTTCTTCACTCACATTCTTTTCGATAAATTTAGGTGCACGAAGTAGGCTAAGTACTTCAGCAGGATAACTTAATTTAGTTTGGTGGCCTATTCTTTTTTCTAGATTAATGCTAGATATTATAGGATCTGAAGTATCCAAGGCCCTAGAGAAAATGTCTTCTAAATTATGTTTTCTGCTGGTTTTTCTTGCATGAAATTGTCTGTCCTGCTTATATAGCTTGTTTCTGCCCTCTGATCCCTCTTCTCCAAAATATCCAACCGGCAATATACTATTATCTAGGATAGCTTTTCCATGTACAAGTACTTTGTGTACAGTAGCTGGCATTGGATACCAAGGATACTCTGACATATAAAGTTTTGGTGTTTCGTTGCAATATTCTTGAAATTTTTCAGTGTCAATTTCACATTGACACGACAAGCAAATTAAAATGTTTTTAAAATTGTTTATCAATTTTTCATTAACGTCTGTTATTTCAGAAAAAAATCTCGTGTCCTTGAAACTCCTTCTTGCGGTATTTCCATCGTTTGTACTTCCGAATCCATTGGGTTTGGGCTTATCAACATGTAGTGAAAGTTTTTTTAGAAACCGATCTTGTACAATTTTTTTTCTGGCATTAAATATTTTTTTGTTATTTTCTCCTCTAATCTGCCATTCTCGTAGATCATATCTATATGAAATGTGTACGATACATTCAAAAAACCTGATCCATGCATGCAAGGGGCTTATACCATACTGTAACGTGCCAGGCTTGGGATTGTATACTTCGGACCTTTGAAAACTTTCAGGCTGTATCTGAAGAAAGCTTTTTGGGGTAGCTTTACATATTGGGCAAGATTGACTGGATTTATTCCCTGTTAGCGTGTTAAGAACTTTGCCATCTATAAGAGTCATAAAAAGCTGGAAGGTGATTTTTATTACTTTACTTGGTTCTAGCTCTATTCTTAAAATATCTAGTTGTTGAATTTGTAAATCGAGTCCAATTTTTTCTTTGAGAATGTGTTCAGAAGTTTCTTTAACAAATTCAAGTTTTAGAGGGCGACAGAATCTCACAGACTGTGGAGTTCTATTATTCCACAAAACTATATTCATAGACTGGAAGCGCAAAGGAACTATTGTAGTAGCGAACAGCGAAGCATCCGATTGGGTATCGGAACTGTCAAATTTCTGTTTATATACGGAAAATCCTGAACTACCATCAAATCCATAACTAAAAATTATTTCAGCGTCTATTTCTGCCATGCTCAGGGAATCCATAAACTGTAAAATAACATCTTTTTGCAAATTTATTATTCGTTTTGTTGTGTGTTCCAGAAGATTCTTTAAAGGAACTTCTGCAATAACTTCTGTGACCTGAATTCCACTTGGTCTGCAGCTAGATTTAATTTGCCATATTTTTTTGTAATCTGGGTAGATGTTACAATTTTTCTGAATGGCGCCGCGTCTTATATCTAAATATTGCTGTTTGCTTAATCTAGAATCTAAGATAAGTTCCAGTGCTTCCTCTGCGGTATAGGCAATTATCGGAGTTTCCGATGAAGAAAAGAGTTTTTTTATTTTTGAAGGTTGCGTGGGAGATTTCACGATTTCCTGTAAAACTATTGCTACATCTTTATTTTTTTGTTGCCGTGCCGCTTTAACAGCAGCCTGCACAAGTAAAGCCCAGTCCTGCTTATGTTCCTCGGAAACCTTTGAGGCCGTTCTCCTTTGAGTTCTGGGGGATTGCTCCGAAAAAAATAATCGTGGGCGCCCGGCAGATGATGTGGATGGAAGGGGTTCACTTACTTCAAGGATAAAATCCTCCTTGAGCCAGTCAGCATTTTGTTTTAAAAAGAAATCTTTTCGACGCGAAACCGCCTGCCATCTTGCTTCAAAATTTATACACAGTCGATTAATCTTTTTTTCCATAGTGCCTGATAGTATGTCTTTATTATTCTTAAACTTCTCAGTTACAAAACTTAAAACATTCCTGTTTTTCTCAACTTTATCGGCCCCATGTAGCCACACTTCCAAAAGATCTATTTTTTTCACTCGGTACATATCTGGAAGAAATATATTTTTTTTAAAAAAGTTGCAGCTAGTAGCAGCTAATTTTTTATTTGGTGTGTCCAAAAACGACCACCTTAAATTTTAGAATAACATCTAGCATGGAGAAACATGGAGAATTTTTTATAAGTCCAACTGAAGATTTAACTTTTTTTAAATTTTCTGTGTTGAACTAATTGTTTTTAATTATTTAAAATAATAACGAACGCTAACTCCTATCTAAAATTGTTAGTGATTCTTTTGAAATACATACCGTAAAGTGTATAAATAACACTGATCCGTTTTTATGTCCCACTGAATATATCAATTAATAATTACCTAAACTCTTAGAAAAATTAACAGCAACTGGATAGGCAAAAATACTTTATCAGAATACCTGAATATAAATGCTGATAAGAAACGATAAACAAATCTGGGCAAAAATATATATACGAGGCCTTTTTTATTGGTTTATCTGCTTTTATTCCACAAACAAAAAAATGTCCATATACAGGGTGTTTTGGATACCTATTTTGGCCAAAAAATTAGGTTCCAGAAACCATAGTGCAGTCGTGCGGAAAAATACTTTTTTTGGTCAAAAGTTCTCACAATACTCTCTTAGATTATATCCATGCTTATATCCTGTAGATAAACTATTGTACCTAACACTTGCGGAAAATGTTGTTTTTTTTTTTTTTTTAAATTGGGGGGTTAACGAGATTTGATTGTAGATTGGCGATTCCTGGCGATAACCTCCAAGGTCGACAGGTGTTCGTCGAAATATTTGCCGATCACCATAACCTAATCCTAACTAATCCTAACTAAATATCAAATATCAATCACGCCTCCCAAGTGAGTCCTCGCAAAAATAAAACCATCAGTGTTTCAAAAGTGACAGGTGCATTGGCATATAGGTCGTTTTTAGCAGTAGAAGAGGTCTTCTCTTTATATTCTTCATTCAGTTCAATTTCTAACTTCCCAAGCCTAGAGTTGAAACCCACTTGGATCCTGATATGGTGTCAAAAGAAATGTATCGACAAGTAGGCCTAACGGGTAACAGTCTTTATTCGTCACGCCATTCATGGCCTCGTGGAATGATACTTTTTGGTAACTAGTACCACCCGGAGATGATCGTGTACTATTAGATTATTTTGTGTCATCATTCAGCATTTATTGAAGGTGTTGACTTGGTGCCTTCTCCAACACAAACAGCGTGTGGCACTTCATGTTTCAATGCGATGTTCTACTGAACTAGTTTGCTCAATAATTTTTCCTTGAACGAAGAGATCAGCCTCCTCTTCCAAAAAATTAAATGGCTTTATTCTTTCTTTTGTGTCCTTAACTATTCCAACTCTTTCTGAAATTCTCTGTAACCTCTTTGCTCATTTTGACTCACGCACTTTTTTCCACATCTCAATACTCAGATAGTTGGTGTACATCTCCTGAGACCCGCTTTCTTCTTTGTCACCTGATTTTTCGTAGGGTGTGCTAAAAAATCGAGAAGCGACTCAGATTTTTACCCAATTTAATGTAGAAAGTACCTAGTGAAAGTTCAGTCGGAAGTCAAATTGAGTGGTAAAATGCAAACTGAACATTTGCTCTACGTGCACGTGCACTACGATCTTATTAGCCTTAATTATTTTAATCTTGATTGATGTCATTTAATTTCTTCATATCTGCATACGTGACCAAACCTTTGATGTAGTCTCTCCAATTTTTCCACTCTTCTTACTACGCTCCGTATTACAAAAAAAAAATTGTTCCTAATAATCCCCTCTCTCACTAGCCTTCCTCGTCCGGTTCCCCCTCTTTCGTCGGTGCTCCCTTCATACGTCACATTCACCCCTGGGTGGCACAGGATCGGCATTAGGTAAATATGCCCACGGCCTTGAAAGTCTGAACTTACAACACGGGTAGAGGTCAAAGCCTAACTAAGGCTCTACTAGTTACACCATCCGCAGTGTTCAGATTGGCTTCACGTGAGACACCATTGTTTTCTTTAGCAAGGCTTAATAGTCAGCCTAGATTCCATTTTGAAGGTGGAAGGTTATTATCTTCCATTAGGACCAATTTTCCACACTCAACTGAATCAGGATCTGCTGTCCATTTGGATCTCTATTGAAGCTTGCCTATATATTCACGGCTCATCAGGACCAAAAGTGCTCGTACAGTTTCTGGAGCAGCTGGTGCTGACTTGAAGAGTCGTCGGGGTCGTTTGTCAAGGCATTAGGGGACGAGAGTTAGACACGGACTCGATGCGAATGACGAGAAAAAAAACAAGCTAGTATTTCTTAAGACGCGTTTCGAATGTTGTTTGAAACTTTTGACCCCTGCCTCCCATATTACTCCGGAGTGAGGAGAATTAGTCGGCATAGAATGCCACTTGAAGCCTAAATTAGCCGCTTGATAACATATTTCGTTTTATTATTTTCAAGAAAGTGAGTTATCTCTTGCAAACCTCAGTCGGTTTATTCCGTCAGCTCGCAAATCGATTAAAAGCCTGAAGAAAGTCTTCAGCGCTCGATGACAGAATAATTTCCAAGTGAATAGCACAGTTGCTAAAACAAATAAATTAACAGATCAAACACTTGATGGGTTTACAGCCGCGATTGTGCGTTCTAGATACCAAAATGACGTATGCATAACGAGAGCTTTAACAAGTGCGGATGACTGATGTACTGACCATCGGCTGATACCAGCCAGAATGAATTTGCGCATCCCACCTAAGCGTAGATGTCAAAAAAAGCAGTTCAAATGCAATTTCAACATAAAACGGTTTCAAGACGATCATATCAGTACAAACTCCCAAGCCTCTCTATTAGGCCAGAAACTTCCGTTAACACCCGGAAAGCATTGAGAAGCACTGGAAAATATTGTAGACTAGAATATCTGTTTTGCCTTAATTGATGCTCGTTTTTCAATTAATGTTTTTATACTATCCTCGTCTTGCGACATTTCATACCGCGTAAAATATTTTTCGTATTATCAGCCGAGAAGAACTTATACAAATCAAATAACGAGGAGAGAAATGAATATTTATACTCGCCCGCTTCTCTGACGCTGCATATATCCAGTCGAATCTTGCACACATAGCCTCTTTTCGCTTGAGAATTTAAGTTATTTTTAATCAAAACATCAATTGGAATCCGGCTCGAAGGACCACGTTTTTGTGTAATGAACTATGAGATATTGGTTTATAGACTTTTTATTAAATTTAATTTTAAGGCAAAAAAATTAACATAAAGCAAGGTAGCTACGCCCCGTAATACAAAAAAATGTCTCTCACTAGTCTTCCACGTCCGGTTTCCTCTTTTTGGTCGTGGTGACACAGGGTCGGCATTAGGTACCAACAAAGCAGAAGTATCTAAAAATCTAGGATAGTATGCTTACTTCTATAGTGGACTAGCAGATTTGCAACGCGAGAAATAAAAACTATCCATAATAATTAGCAGGAGATTACGAAAGTTCATCACCAACTGTAAAGCCGCAAACAAAAGACCGATGAAAATGAATATTATGGTAAACGGCTATATAGTTACGATTTTTGGAATTCATTAGATGATGATGTAAATGTAGCCACGAAAGGCAGCTTCTTCAACAGAGGAATCTCATCATTCAGGGCTCCTAGAGAGATATAAACAGTAGAACACGTTGAAAGCTGAATAGTTTCACTGTTGGTCAACTTGGGGAAGATTCGATACACTTTGTGAGCAATTAAAATGATTTCCTTGAAAGAAAAATATACATAAGTACATAAACCAAACCATCTTAGAATTTGAAATTACTTAACAAACAACGAAATTGAAGAGAGGATGTCAGAGCTCAACGTGGACCAACATACGGAAGTTACCACTATTTTTCAAAGGCCAGAAACCTGTTTTCTTATAAGCTATAGAACCGGTATCCGCAAGACGTACACAAAATCGTTCATTAATGACCCTCATTAATGCATGATTTTTCATAAATGCAAGATATATTCTTTATGCTGAAATCCAACAGTTTAATAAAGGTTCGTCAAAGAAAATTCAATATTTATTTATCCATATTACCATGAAAATAACATCATACGCCCTAAGACAAATCGTTTTTCTACGACAGAAACATGTGTTTTGTCTATTCAGAAACGACATAAAACGAAACTTTATCACGATAGGAACGGCTTCCACAACAAGTACAATAAATGTCGCAGGCATTTTTTGAAAACATAAATGCTTCGCACCAATCAAAAAACGCAATTTAGAGAACAAAAAAAAAGAAAAAAAAAACATTTATAAACAAACACACATGACAGATGGTTGACCTATCCCGCCATATTTAATTAAGATCAGTCGCTCAAAACGGGCTGTAAACAGTTTAAAAAATACCAACAGGATATGTTGGGAAAACTTTTGGTTCTGCTGAACGATTCAACTTTTCATCTTATTATTTATTCATTTTATTATTTTGAGCAACTTTTCTCAATAACTTTTTTTTGTAAAGTTGAAAATAGGCGAACCGCCCCTAAAAATAAAAAGGTGGTGGAAAAAAAAAATCCATTTGATACAATGTTATTTGCACCTTTTTATATGCACTAAAGGCGAGAAAAAAAAAAAAAATTAATATACAGTGTGATTTTTTAAGTGTGCAACATAACCCCTAAAAAAAAAAAAATTGTAGGAAATGTAATCTTTTAAAACTTTTATAAGGAAATTTTTTTTTGCGAAAAAATAAATAAACTTTAAACTACCCCTATTGAAAAACGGCAGGTGAGTAAAAACTTCATGAAGCAAAAATGTTGTATGTGTTGTAGAAAAATTTTTCACGTTGGTTAAAATTTTTCATTTTCATTATAAAATTTCAAACGGCCCTTATGACCACAGACGGCCCTTAATCAATAAAGTCTTTAGATAAACATTGTAGATCAAATACTGTTGCACATCTTTTATTTGAAACATTTTTTTGTAAAATCAATAGGTACCAAGTAATCGCCAATGGCGCACTATCAACCCCTATAGCGCAAAACGCCAGAGGGGTGA